CCCCCCCCCCCCCCGCTCCCAACTACCTCGGTGGCCTTGGCATGGTCTCGTGTTTCATGTTTTGTCTGACGCTCGGCGGGTACTGTTGTCTCTCTCCCATTCTCTTGCTCCCCCCCTCCTCGCCTTGTCTCACACATTTTCAAAAGGCACTTTATTTATTGTCCCCGGGGAACTCTCCATTATGCATTAACCTGTTCAATTATGCATTCATTTATGCAGCCGTTGCAAGCCGTCTATCTTGACCCCCCCCCCTCCCCACACACACCCCTCACAGAACAGGCTCTAAAGTATAGATGGAACATTACCACGTGGGATTTATTAAACAGGAGAAAGCATCACTTACCAAGTGATTAATTTGTGGGTTGAAGTCAAGAGATGGAACAACGGTCCACCTCTGTCCTCTGCTGGTCAATTTACTTTGTTTGGCTCTGTCGGTGAGGATAAGCGGTTCAGATAATGGCTGGATGTATGTTTTAAAAAAAAAGTTTAAAATGTTCAAAAATGAGGCTCGTCTTACGATTCAAGTCAAGATTGACTTCGATTATTTAGGTATTCCGCATGTTGTGACCCATTAATGTACAGAGTGTCTGTTTATTGCTACTTGCATTTATTTTAGCGACTTGTCAGGGGAAGGTTGATCTCTTTTGCCTGTGCAAAAAGCTGAACTATGAATTACTCAGCGTCAATGCACTCAGTCAAAGTTTCAAACCCGGAATTCTTTGCAAAGGTATTAAACTATGTGAGGACTTACGATAAAATGATGTGATTTGATAAGAACTTCAGTTCTCACTGTACCAAAAGGAGGAGTCAGAGGCTTAGAGGAGAGATGATGGATGCGAAGATGACCTCTTCTACCATAAACGCTTTACTTGCATTTCCAAGTTCTAATTAAAGACAGATGAGGATCATGCTAGAACATGTTGAGCATGAGCATCAATATTAATGTATCACTAATGACATATCAGTGATGCATTTTTGACATTCCTTAGGATGGCAGATATCCCCTCCAGTGTAACAACTTTGTTGCATTTACATATGTGATGGTTGTTTTTTTCTTTGTCCCAAA